ACTGGTTATAAGTACAAAATATTTAACATTATAGCATTGAAAAAAAAATACTATAGTATTGCAATCCACGGTTATACTCTAATTCACCAAAACTCCTAGTAAACAAACAATTTCCTCCTTTTCAGTGAGAAACATATCGAGTAAACAAATCTATTAAACGAGCAAACAAATGAGTAAACCAGTAAATAAATCTAGTAAAAGAGCAAACACATTGAGCAATTAAGTCGAGCAAACGAGTAAGCAAATGAAATAAACGAATAAACATAACTAGTAAAATAGCAAACAAATTGAGTAAACGAGTAAACAAATTGAATAAACCAGTAAACAAATTGAGTAAATTGATATTTAAAAACAAATAGAGTAAACTAATCGATAAAACATAATTAAAGCATATTAAAACAATGTTGAACGGGACAAACTGACCTTAATGAAAAATGCTGATTTTGACCTTGTAAAACATAATATTCATGTTAAAAAATTTAACTAAAACCATTATGGATTTTTTTTTTGGAAATGATACAAGGTGCCCCACAAAGAGTTGATAAATTACTAAAAAACTTGCTCTAGTAAAATATATTTTTAAGATTTTTTTTTTTAATCAATTTATACTCATTAGCGCTAAAATGTTTTAATTTTTAAAATTTTTTTTTTGTTACATTATTTTTTTTTTTTTTTGAATTCATGGTTTAGCCATTTTATTAATTAATTAATAATTGACCTGGGAATTTTGAACCGGCCCATAACCAGTTTTGGATAATTACTTTTTTGAGTTATAAAACCTTAATATTTGTAAGACAACGGTCGAAGAGAGACAGTTAAAATTAATCATTTTTAAACAAAATAATATAGTTTAATTAACTTTAATATACGTCTACCGGGTTTTCGATTGCTCATATGACTCGCATATCGACTTTTGGCAATTATATATCTATATAATTATTCTCATTCAACTAGCAAAATTGTTTTTTTCAAATTCCAATATTATAAAAACAAACAGACCGACTTTAATGTGTGTGTGTATTAAAATTAATATGCAGTTTAGAATCAGAACGCTATGGCTAGACCTGATGGCCGCCAATGTTTACTTATATTTATATGCATAACCTTGCACAAAGCGTCTTGTGTAGTAGTCTATTTAAAAATCATTATTTTCTAAATCGATGATTTTTATTTTATTGACAATTTGTCTCATACATATTATATTATTACACTCGTCTTGTGTGTATTTCCTGCAAATTGGAGCTAGCCGGCTATTAATTCAAAAATGTATATATATATATATATATCGTTTTGTATTTTTACGATTATAAACAGACACGCTATTTATAATATGTATATAATAAAAGTAAAAAAAAGTCGTCTCGTCCAGAGATGTAATGGTTTTACAAGCTAAAACACGGACGAATTAAATAAATAAAAAAAAAGTCGTTTGGATTATTAAACACAAGTCTACAGTTTAATTTGCCGGCAGGCGCTTAAATATTATTATTTAAGCATATTATTTAAGAAAATGCCGTTAAAATCGTCATAGAAATATGTCCAATTTTTATTATTTTTATTTCAATAGTCAACCTAACCTGACCTAACCTGTTTTGAAAATTCCCCACTTTAATTTGGTTATTTAATGTGATTGAAGTTCTAATCCCAATTGTCGAGAAATGTTGTTAAGATTTGTTCCAAAACAATACAACTGCAATTTGAGGAATGCAAGTTTGACTGTAATATTCATCGATTACACAATACAAGCTGTGAGCTTTCAATTCACAAACAATTTAGACTTTTGAAAAGGTTTTTTTTTTAAATAGCCTTTAGAGAAATCGGACAGCTTAAAGTTTTGTCATAACCCGCTTGGCAACTAGGTCAAAGTCAAACTTTTATTGTGGAAAATAAACTATTTTCCAAACTAACAATTTTTTTTTTGTAAATCAGTAAATTTAAGCATATCAAATGTTGTATATTAGGAAAAAGTTGTCCATAACGCTTATGCATTTTTTTAAAACGACATTTATTATTTTTTTTATTTACTCTGCGCCTATAAATAAGCAATGTTATTATTATATGTACTTCTACTCGATGATTGCATAATAATAATTTACAATAATTATTGTCAAACGGGCGTCACCCAAACCGCCCGTGGTCGTTAGATAGGTTTATATTATATTATATATTTTTTCCAAATGTTTTTTTTTTTGTTCGAATCCGCACAAAGTCAATATTATTGTAATCTGTCCGAATTTCTAACTGATATATGATATATTATTATTATTATTGATGCCGACTCGACGATTTGCCGGGCACACGTGCAGACAATAAAAAGCTGGTCTCACACAGCATGCGCACAGTGACAGTGTGTTTGTTCAATGGGTAACGCGTGCATACTGTTTTTTTTTTTAAATATATATTTTTTTTTTGGCGGTAATAGAACAGCGTTAAAGCAATTATTATTATTATATTGTTATGTCACCACGGCTGCGGTTGTCTTTAAAAAAAAAAAAAACGTTGTTATTTACAGAGATTTTTCTCAGAACAACAATGGCTATATTATGTAGAGTACTGCACTGTTGACCGGTGTTACCCACTATGTATCACCCCACCCCCGGTTAGGTTAGTTCTCTAAGGAAAACATCCCATCCGGGGTCCAGACACATGATATAAACAGCCTGATATGTACATGCTATATGCTGATATGATATGTACAGCTTGGATTAGGGACACAAGTCTTTAGGAATCACTTTAGGGTAACCGCTAAATGAAAATTATTGTAAAGGTGATAAATTATGGCTGTTAAAAAAATGTATTCTAATTAGTTAAGCGTGGACAATGTACTTTAAGTTCACCTAACCTAACCTAACCAAACTGGTAGGGAAAAAAGTTCTTATGACACTGGAATTGTTGTTCCAGAACTGAGGGTCGCTAAACTTATTCATTGTTATGGCCGCTAAATGATAAAGATTATTCGGTAACGTGTAATTATAGAAAGATGTTTTGTACAATAATTTCGTTTTGTACAATGTGGTCACACTGAGTCGAGGACGGTTTCGATTATCAGTAAATGACCAAGAGCACCATCTGGTTTTTAATCTGATCCGCGACAATAATTTGTTGCCATTTATAGTAGTTAACAAAATAGTAGAAATATGTAATTTTCCCCTTTATTGGGCGAGAGAGGGGGTTTACTTAATAGAAAACAAATAGGTATTCCAGAAAATTGTTCTGAAGATCTTTTGCACTCAACTTTGAAAACAGAAAATAATTTTAAAAAATATCCATTTAAATCTCTTTTTTTTTTTTAACCCAAACTAACCTGACCTGACATGTTTTTTTTTTCACATGCATCCGTAAAGAATCCGGGGGGGTACTTGCCCAACCTGACCTGACCTAACCAAACCTAACCAGCCCTAACCAGACCTAACCAGACCTAACCTAAACTAACCTTATTTTTTTATTACATGCATCCATAAAAAGCCAGGGGGTTAAGCTAACCTAACTCGAGTGACATTTGCGAAGATGAAGGACCGTCTCCCTTTTCTATTTTTGATTCACTATAACCTAACCTAAACAACACAAGTGCAAATAATAATGAAACGTTTTTATTTTCATTTTTTTTCAATAAATTAAAATTTAAGTAATTATTCTGTGGAGAAGTATATCAACTTAAATGGAAATAAAGTTATTCTCCAGATAAACTAGAAAACTCTTTGGTATTTTTTTTTTTTTTTATAGAGCTGGTCTATAACTATAATATTATCACTTCTCGGTAATGTTGTGAATGTATACATATTATTTATGTATATTATATTATACAACTACAATTTTTTTTATGGCTGTACAGAATCTACCTTGGGAGACGCGGGTACGAAATAATCATTATGGTATATATTAATTATACACTATTTATAAGCTATTACTGTATTTTTATTGAATACTTTGCACCTTCCCTAACCTAACCTAACCTAACCTAACTGTCGAAGCAACTAAGTCCATACATAGTTTTACATATATTGTGTTAGGTACTTTCCCAAAACAAGTTTAATAAGTGAGTTGATAATAGATTATACCTATTTTTAGTTTTAATTATCGAATGGACACATTAAAAAATCACATCATTGTACGTTTTTTTCTCCATATTCGTGCGGTTTTTTTTTCGTCTATACAAAAAAAAAAACTAAACCAATAAACATTTCGACGTTTAAGTTTTAATTATAAAAAAAAAAATAATAACAACATGTCACCTCTACCCGTTTTCAGACAATTTTTATGGAAATGATTCATCGAATTCCGACTACCGCAAATAAACCGTATGTTTTATATTGTGTGTGTATATTCATATATGATAAAATTTGTATATAAATTAATAAAAAAAATATCCATCCGTCCGTCAAAATGTGGTTCACAAAAATATGATGACGTCATATGTTGTGTTTATAAGTAAACACAGGTGATTGTATTTAAAGCAAAAATACTGTTGACGCAATTTATAGCGTTATATCTCGCACAGTGTTATTCGTCAGCTGTTTTCCACAACAGAACGTCTTCATGCGGAATTTGACAATTTATTTTCAACCTAAATCACAGATCCGGACAGAACCGGATGGCGCACAGCAGCTCCCTGTTTAAGAAATTTAACTTAAAACGTTTTGTATGATAATTTTATATCTGTAATGTGGTCACACTGAGTCAAGGACGGTTTCGGTTATCAGTAAATGGCCGCCGAGTACACCATCTGATTATTATTTAATTTGTGCTACTATGTATTAATACATTTTATGCAACTACAGTGTAATATGATTTGCGTTGGCTTGAGATGGGATTGTTATCAGAAAGTTATTTATCCAAATTTAAAAATCGCTGTATGTACATCCGTTTTTAGATGTAGTTTTGAAAATCCCAAATATAATCGTTTTCTTCTTAATTAATGTTTTTAAAGATTTCCCTAAAGTGATTTAAAAATCAATTTAAGTTCTTGGTGGGAATTTTGATTTTTTTTTTTTTTTTGACAGAAGGCGGCTTTCTTGTGGCCGTCACCAGAACAACAAGCACAACAACAGCAACAGCAGCAGCAGCAACAACAACAACAACAACAGCAGCAGCAACAACAACAACAGCAGCAGCAGCAGAGTAACCTGGCCGTGGCCGGCCAGACAGCCGGCTCTGGTCATAGCAACAACAACAATAACAATAACAACAACAACAGCATCCTAAACGGTAACAAGTGCGGCGGCGGTGCCGCACCGGCCGTCAATCCGCAACACCTACAGCAGCAAGGTGGCGCGGGACCAGGCGGCGGCGCCGGTGGCACCGGACTGGTGCACTGGATGTCGATGATGGCCGAGCACATGAACAACGCAGCGGCCACGCATCACCACCATCACCATCCGCATCACCATCACCATCCCGGCGACCCGGCCAACGCCATGCACTACATGTGGAACGCGCCCGGCGTGGACATGGTGAGTAAAACTTTGCATATAAATTATATTGTCAGAAAATGGTTGCTAAAATATTACAAAATTTGATAATTTAATAATTTTACAACAAAAAAAAATTAGCAAACCGTTTTATAATTGTCTCAAACCAACAAAAAACTACTATTTGTATAGAAGTTTAATAATATATGTATTTCCAACATAGAAAACACATTTTAAACACATTGCATGTATTTGGGTTAATTGATGTATATAAACACATACAACTTATTACCAGAATATATTCATAAATGTGTTCACACACACAAAATCGTTAATAAATTGATCACTAGACTTTTATAACGTTTGTCTTGACGCAAGTATTGCTTAAATATTACATAATAGTATGAAATAATACTTGAATAAAAAAAGATAGGATGATTGGTTAACATAGATATGACCTAGTCAATATCTTAAAAGGCATAAGACTGTTTCATATTTTTTTTTAGTTATTATAGTTAGTTCATTTAAGTTTCGAAAATCAATAGCGCTCTGGAAAATACATAAAAAAGGAAAATAAATTTGTAAATATTATATGCTTAAACGTCAGAAAGAGTAAAACGTGCAAAAATACTTACAACGGGTTAAAAAGAAAAGTTTAAAGATTTAACGTTCTTTTAATAACAAAAAAAATAACAAAACGCAACAAAAAACGTTTTACCTTTGAAAAAAATACAAAGTAAACTAAAAAAAAAATTAAGTACTCAAATAATATACTGTTGATTGTGTAGCCTTAATTGTTATTTTCAAATTGTTTTCTTCTTTATTTAGATTATGATTTATGATTTTTAATCGAAATCTGTACAATTAATTGTGTATTTAAACTGAAAAAGTTTTCCCAACGGTTGGAATTAAAACCTCTCGTGGGCTCTTTCACAGTGTTAGTAGTACCGTTTCTTAATAAGTGTAAATAATAATAAAAAAGTAATAATTAAGAGAAAATCCAAAGTACATTTTTCCAAAAAAAAAATTATTATTATGTATATTAATATATATACCGAGAAAAAAAATTGCTCGGTGCAAGTTCTTATGTTTAACATTGTCGTCTTACATCATATACGACCTAACCTATCGTCGTATACAATATTTAGAAAAATATAAAACCAGTTAATATAGGAAGACAATTTTTTATTCGAATAAATTGTAAAGTAAATATTCCAATAGGAAATTGCACAGCTCTGGCTATGAATTTTGTTTTTTATTTTAATACATTAACACTAAAAATTATGTTTCAATCGTCATTGATCAACATAATATAAGCAACTATAATTAGGGACGAAGATCTGGACAGAGGCGGCATTTTGTCTTGGAACCGTTTTGGAGTATCTTTTTGTACAGGCATACTTTGGCGACATAACCGTTTTCGGCAGAAGACATGGTAAAAGAAAAAAATAAACGAATCGTGCCCGTTTTAACCGACTTCCGGGTGGAGAATAATAAAAAAAAAACCCCCATTCGCATAATCCTTCAGAGCCGTTAAGACAAAACAAAAACCGAAACAATGTGAAAAAAAGTGGCCCCGAGCGCATCTTAATTTTTTTTTTCCATCCGTGAGATTCGCCGTTCGCATAACGGTAAAAAACAGACTTAAAAAAACGCCGCTCATCCCCACATGAGTAATTACCAACCCCCGTGGAGACGACTAGCTGCGTACAACAGCTATTTAATATGCAAGAGACGTGGTGGTAAGGCGATTTTTTTTTTAAATATTAAAATAATCATAACGCGACCCTTTTGCACACACACTCGGGGTGGTGGTGGGGGGGGGAATTGAGTTTTTTTTTCCAAAACGTTTTTTAGATAGCGGAGGCCATCTATTTTTTTTTTTTTTTTGTTCTTATCCTTTCCATTCCGGTCCACTCGGCCCCGTATATATGTACGCATAGTCACGTAGTAAATGAGTGTATACACACATACACACCGGGTGCAAAACGAATGTATGTAGTAAAAAAAAATAATAGGTAATGATGATTTGAATAATGTGTGTGTAAAAAAACAATCGCTTTGGGGGTAGCGGCGACAACCGGTTGTGGGCTTATGCAAATGTACCTCATAACACACATACACACATAAACTCTCACAAGTGCGATGGGAAAGGTACTCGAGAGGGTTAACTATGCAAATTATTCGGTAAACAAAAGGATGCCTTTGCCGGTGTGTGTGTGTGTATGTTTTTTTTTCCTCATCGCTAATGGTCATATGCATGGACTATGATGGGAGTGAATTCCTATGGTTATTATTTTTTTTTTTATCCTCTCTCCCGTTTTTTTTTTTGTCTTATTTATTCTATTATATTATACTTGCGCCTTGTGGCACAGGGGGACACAGGGGATGATGTTACACAACCCGTCTCGTCGTCGGAAAGTATTTTTTTTTTTGTCTTAGATACACACACACACAGGCGGGATAAGTCCTACGCATAAATTTCGGGGAAAATTTTTTTTCAACTCTAGTTTTTTTGATTCGTTAAAAAAAATACCTACACCACCTCACCCCAGACCGTTATATTATTATTATTATTGTTATATCTGGTATTAATTACACGGCGAGATGCGACGCGTAACCGTTTTTTTTAATCATCCCAAGCGAACGCCATGTGTTTAAACTTTTGTGTAGGTATATAGGTGTCCCGTATCGGATGAGGAACCTAAAAAAAAAAAAAACAAAAAAAAAACCTATTATAATAATATAACACATTAATATGGACGGACGGTTTCTAGTAACCCAGTGATCTAGAAATTAAAAAAAACTAATAAATTACATAAAAAAAAAAAAAAATACCGACGCGAATCAAAGTATATTCGTGGAAACAATTTATATAGTAATAATAATACTTATTATTATTATTTAGTTAAAAAATTGTTAGTTCTGTCGTTAGGTGATTGCCATCGAGTTCCGTTTTGAACGCCAGTATATAATATTATATAGTTTTGCCACCATAGACATTCTGGGAATACTTAATCGGTAAAATTTGCGGTAACTAGTGTGTGTGTTTTTATTTCCATTAAAAAACCGTTGATTTAGCGTAACGCGAATGGGGAAAAAAAATTACAGAAAGAAAAGCAAATTTCGCTTAGCCGAAACAACATAATAACTGTTATTATTATTATTATTATTGCATAGGGTGATCAATCTGATGTAAGACACAGTAAGACCATATTTGCAAAATGGTACATATTTTACTTTCATATTTTGGAATATTTTGAAAAAATTGTTATCTTCATCCCTAACCTAATCTAACCTAACCAAACGATTATGGACTTGGTTTTTTCAAACAGGAACATAAGTTTTTAATTTCATTAAAATTTAAACAAGAATGTTTAAAAAATGTAAGCGTTTGAATTTTAAAAATATTATCGCAATCTGTTGGTTTGCAAAAGTATTGAAAAATAATGTAGTACATTTTCAGAACGAGCCCCAGCCATAAGATACATGCATATATCAAAAGTCTGAGAAAATGTCGACTACTTAGGGTGGTGTATTAAATTTTGGAGTCGCTAGACTTATTAGACAGTTTTATGATTATGTTAGACTCGAATGAAATCATTGATTTAGGTGGCTAATTAAAGTGAAGCTAAGCTAATGTTTGGTGGCCCCTTTAACATTTTCCCTGTTACAACAACACTCTTCGGTTACATGCACAATAATATGGTTATTGTACCTATACGGGCAAGTGATCCGTGATGAGTCGGGTGGTGACTTAAATATCATGTTCAAGACCGTTTCGGCGCTAAATACCTACCGGTGTTGTGTGTGGAAATATTCCTCATTATATACCTCTATACAATACAATAATGATATAGCTAAGGAAAAAACAAATTTTAACCGTGACCGAAAATACAATTATATTGTACTTGAAAGGCCGAGTCAATTTTGTATTTCGGTAGTCGCCAAAGATTTATTATTATTATTAGCAGTAGTAGTAAGTAGTGTTTGTTGTAGTTGGATTCGCACTATATATATTGTATAATAATATTATTATTGTTGTTGTAACCACACGAGCCCATTGATCGTTGTCGTCGTCGTCGTTTTAAGTATAGGAAAAATCATGAATGAACCTATTGTGCGGTATGTGTGTGTGTGTAAAATAAAATATAGTATGAACCCTCGATCAATTTGTAGGTCAATATTGTACAATAATATTGTATAGTATAGTTATATAATATATATATATGGATTAGATGTTTTTTGGTATGCTCCCCATTGACATTTACAATATGATCATTGCCCGGAAAAGGTATAATGATTTCATTTTCGATATTATATTGGGGAAAAAAAAATAAAAAAATTTCGGTTATGATATTTTCTATTATGGTCAAAAAAGACCACCCCGACATAATAATAATAATAATAATAATATGTAACTTGTGTATTACCTCGTTAAATGCCGCCTGCAGAGTGGTCTCTAAACGGACCAGATTTTCGGACCCAAATGTGTGAACAATGTCTTGAAAAACGACCTTTTTTTTAAGGACCGATTTTTTTACTTAAAATTTTACTTCCTTTCCGGTGTGTATGTGTGTGGACTTATCGACCGACCGACACGGACTGCACGGACAGACCAGACACAGAGTGAGCGTTTGGCTTTAGGTTTTCCTAAAAAAAAAGGGTCTTTCTTCTGTTGAATTTTTTTCTTTATAAAAAAAATAATAATACAAAATACAATAGACGAAAAAAATTACATAAGCGGCGCATGTGCAACAAGTTTTTGAAGAAAAAAAAAATTAAATATTATTTATCCCCTATACTATGTGTTGCACCGCAATGTTTTTTTTTTTTAAATGTTGTTGACGGCAAAAGCGGTAGCAGGGTTCAGGGATAGGTTTAACAAAAAATACAAGACAAAAAAAATATCTTTTAACACAATCCCGGTTAGTTGTTTCTTTTAGGATAAAATATATTATAATATATAAAAAAAAACAAAATCCAGAACACAATAACAAGTTATCGCTCAGTGGTTTCTTCAAACAGCGATTTTAGCAAAC